TAGCGGTAGAGACAAATGACTCAGTGACAGGAACTATTGAAGATGATCAGGGAGCCAGGCAATACATGCTTTCTGTTCTGTGTTTTGTTAACCTGGCTGACACACAGAAAGGAAATGGGGTCTGAAGGTTTCTGACTTGTTAACCAAAATATTAATCACTTAGAAATTGCAAAATTTAAGTTAGTAATGTGGTTTCTGATATTCCAAACATGGCTTGACTTTTATAATGTCCTGTTTGAACTGGAACCAAAATTAATTAAGGTAGAATTTCAGAAGCTACACTCCACTGACTTCCATTATGATCTCAGCACCTGTCTTCCTTAGACTCTTTTGAAAATTTCCACCTTAATCTTTCAAGGGCATGTTTAATACTTGAAATGGCAGAAGTCTTAGCCAGAACAGCTTCCAGCTAGAGATGTGGTAGGAACATTATGCACACCATTTGCTAATACAGGCATGTACAGGCCAGCAGTAGTTCCAATATCTCTGCCAGAAAGCTAATGCGAACATAGTTGGCCATAAGCTTTCCTCTGACTTGGGCAAGGGTATATGTAAATTCCAGTTGTCTTGTGTCCACTAGCTTTAAAATGGAGGTATCAAAGCAACAGTGCCAGAATAAAGTGTGATTTCTTAAGGGTTTGTAGTCAGAGCTGAGACATGATAATTGAAGAAACCTGCCATGGGCTGTATTTGTATAGGCAGGTGTATATTTTTCTTGAGTAAATGGGCTGGTTGTGTGTGCCAGGAGCTCGCCACATGGGTGATAGACCACTGAGGGAACACAGCTCTGTATGTTCCATTCAGAGCATGTTTGGAGAGGAAAAACTTAACACAAAGTGCTATCTTTTCTAAATAGTCCAGGGAAACATGGAGAAATGCTGTTACACCCAAACCCTCGAAACCCAGCGCGCCTGTCAAAAGGGTGCACCTCCACCGTGCTCGTGGCCCTTGTGCATCCAAAACTAGAGGTCTTTTTTCTTGCATAGCATCCCTTTGCCCTAGGCTAGTGGTGGAATTAGAATGGGAGTTAGTTTTATCTCACTGAGGATCTTGGAAAAGCATGCCTCTTTCCTGATGCTCTCCTGATCTGTCAGATCTTGACCCATGAAGATAGGGAGCCAAAATGAGAGATATTGTTCAAGAACTCCCTGAATGAGGAAAACTTGCTCTCCAGCTTTTGAGCTCTAACCCCATTACTTCCCAGGCTCTCTGCCAATATATTTTAAGATGACCTTTAGAACCTGTGTTTCAACTCTGTCAAATCTCCACCAGGAGTCAGCATTGCCAGATTAAATGTTGCAGGACATATAACTACTCTGTAAAAATCAAAATGCAGTATACAGTGATGATCAGCTATTAAAGACCTCCTTACAGTATGCCTGGTCTCCTGTGGAGCCTGTGGAGTGTATTATCCAGGCCTATGCTACCTGGGAGACAAGTGGCACTTGGAAATTAATGGGTGCCTGGAGTTCTTTCCCAGCTGAAATGTAGGTCTCTTAAATTGCCAGAATTTCTCCATGTTGCCTGGACATACTCCCAAGGCTGCTGCTAGAATGAAGAGGAGAGAATGGCTATTGCCCTTCTGCTAGGAAGAAACCATTATCTCCTGCAGCTTAACAGCTGTAACAAGGGACAAAGCAGAAGTTCTGGTGATGCACCTTTACAAGGCTAATGTTTCCAGAAAGCTGACAGGCAGCCTAAAATAATATTGTCCATCAGACCAATTACAACAATACTATAGCAGCTGGAAGGGTTTGCTTCCGTCCTTGATACAATATGCCCAAAAGATGCTTTCTGCCACCTTTACTGCTGTTATGTCCCACGGCTGACAGGAGAGATAAGAAAGGAGACTTTTTTCATAAAACCTTCAGATCATAATGACTGGTTCTTTAAAAAAATTACACTTAGAAAGATGTAAAAGTAAAGATTGGAAAGTTAAAATGTAGATCTACCCAACTTCATGCAGAAGCAACCTTGTCGTCCTCTTATTCTCCCTACCACATTGCTTGTTAGTTTTCTTGGTGAATGACTTAAGTCATAAACAGCTTAAAGGGGAAACTCTTCAGGTCAGGGGTATTTTTTCATTTGCAGTATGCTTACATCTCTGGAAAGACTTCCATCAACTTCCATAAGACTAAGTAAAGTTTTGATGAGAAGAATGTAGAACTGTAGATGTCCCAGAGCAAAATGCTCTCTTCTAATGTGCTGGTCTCTCAGTCAGCTGAAACTACTCGGTGGGTTTCAATTATCTGCTTTTTGAATTAAAACTACAGTTCTAATATCTAAATGGCACCATTCAATGCTGTGTAAAAATAGCTGTACGGCTGGTTTTGGGTAGTGGAACTAGCATAATTATATTCAGATGTAATTGCACGTGGCTTGGGGCAGTCAAAGGGTCTGAAAAGTTGTCATTTTCACCTATCGTTTGCTGACCCTTAGCTGGACATGGTTACTGGTGTGCAAGTGTGCCTATATGTACCTGACCTGGTTTGTCTGTCATTGAAATGGACAAGTCACCTTCCTGGTGTGGCAGTCGTAGCCTTCTCAAACTCGGTGTGTCACAGCATCTTTGACTGTTTTCTTGGTGTTCTAGCTGAAACCTTGCTGATAAGTGGGTTAGAGGTGCTATTTATATTGTATGTATAAGCATGTTTAGAGCTTGCCTGAATATTTATACATGATATTGGCTTTTAAGGTCTGCATGGACTTAACTGGTTGGAGGCGTCTGAAGAATTATAAATCTTGGATTTATAGGAATTGTTATTATACTCTACCACTCCATTGGTGTTTGATTTATATCTGCAAGAGTTATTCCCAGAAGGAATTCAACTAGATTTCTCTCCCAGTTTTTTAATGTAATTGATGATTGTTTACACGAGTGTCCTTGCCAAAGAGAGGTGATTTGGCAGTCCTCTGGAATGTTAAGGTTAAGTATATTGATTTAATCTTCTCCCAAAGGAGTTGTTCTTTCTGTGGCAAAGCATCATCGTTTTTGTTCTTGTGTTTGCAACTTTGTTTACATGGGTTTAATTGAATTTTGTCTATACTGTATTGTAAGTGGGAGATGGCAGTTTCATATAGTTCTTCCTTCCCAGAGTACAGGTTTTTGGATTCCCATTTTGTTAATGAATCCTGGCTTTCCCTGAGCAGTAATTCTTCAGAGCCTTCAGTGTGGTAAGTACTGAAAATAGGGAGAACCTTGTCTGCCATTACATGCACAGTTAATAGGAGCTATTCATAGTGGTGGTAGGATCTTATACCTTTGTCTTCATGTGATTAGTACTATACTTAGCTTACAAATAAGCATATCTGAATTGCTAGCTTACAAACAATGTATATAAACCATATTTATTTTTACATAAGACACAAGCCTGTAACAGTCTTAGCTTTAAAATTATACGTTCCTGAACCAATGTGAATATAAACCCAGAATCATACTTTTGTTTTCAGAAATCGTACATGTAATTTTTTTTCCACTTAGGCAAAAAGTTTGTTGGGTTTTGGACCTGTAATTTTTGAGTAAGCTGTTTGTTGCTACTCAGGAACTGAACAGCAACTGGAACACCGTGGCTGAAGTGTTCTTTCATCTGTTTTAGCATGGATGGGCCTTGATCAGAACAGCAGGTCTGGATGGATCGCTGAGCTGCTGAATAGCTTGCTGAGGATCTAAACTTCACAGCTCCTTCTGAACTGTACTCTGGCCCTGCCCATAGGCTGGAACCAGATACACCCCAAAGAGATGATTTTGTAATTGCAGATGAAACTGGTGACATGAATCTATTAATTTCTTTTTCTGGTCTCATCTTTTATTGGTTATTGGTTTTCCACTTTCTTTAAATTCATCAACAGTTTTTCTCAGTGATCCTTTTTGTGATCTAGACCAAGTGATCCATTTTGCGGAGCAGAGGAATGACAGCTATATTCTAGTTCTGCGTAGTAATTTGTCTCCCTTATGTCCATTCTGCTGGTCTTAATTGGAAAGAAGATGATAATGAAGCAAGTGCCTGTCCCTGGGCTTCTAATCATATGCCTGCAGAATCAGATTCCAATCTGATGGTTCAGAGGTAAAGTAACTCCTACTGTAAAGTGACGTTATAATGGAGATAAATCAGGAGTGAATGTGATCCTTGTAAACTTAAAAATACCTTCTGCCATTTCTTCTCCCAGGAAAATGCTTCTTCCTGATATACATCCCCAACACAGGGACTCAGAGTTAACAAATGAGGCTTCTTTTTAGATATTTCTCATTCCTTGTTACCATGTCAAAGTTAGCAATAGATTTCCTGTTATTTTGTTTTTCTTTTTGCTCATTCCTGCAGGACTCAGTCTTAACTCAAGCATTTCTTTTGATCCATATAGATCTTTAGGAAATTAATTTCTAATATTTGATGTTCCATATATTTTGTGACTCCTGAGAGTATATTGTTGGACATTTTGTTCGTTGTTAAAAAAGCCAAGACCCAGCAGCCACAAGAATTTATGCCCGTTCTGGAAAATCTAGCATGATTTCTTTGGTATGGCAATACCAAAAAGTCTGCTGGCATACCCAGCTAAAGTACTTAAAACCATATAAAGGGAATGCCTTTTAGGAATTGGATTAAAACACAGACATAATATTTTCCATCAATTAGATGTTGAGAAATCCCAGACATACGGTGCTGCAAGTGAAATTAGATACCTTGGGAAACCTATTCCAAATGGAAATCTAATATGCGGGATCCTGACTCAGTCGCCACTTCCTCAGTTTTTTACTCTCCCAAAAATATATTTGGATACACTAGTAATGTAAATATAGTAACATTATACCCAGTAAATATGCACAGATCGGATCATGCCAACAGCATTAAATGTAGCCATAGACAAACTACAAACTTGCCTATAGGTATTTTAAAAACCTGCCAATAATGCAGTTTTACCTATTTTCCTATGTTACTGCAGATGCGCGGTACTACTATTTGTGGAATCATTTCAGCAAACTGTGTATTATTTATAAACGGAGAATGACGGATTTATGGTGAGCCTTCTGTCACAGTTGTTTGGCATATGGGAATTATAAATAGGACTGGGTAATCATTGATGCTCTGTGCTTTTGGCACTGTGGTTGTTTCTGACCCAAAGAGAAGCCACAAGAGATAAATACATGATGGCCCCTACTAGCTTTTTTATGTGTAAAAATATTTTGTGTTTTGGTTCACTCCCTGCTTAACTGCAAGCCAAATGGAATATTTTTAACATAATCCTTTACATGCTCCCACATCACAGCTCTTTTCAAAACAATTTGCCCTTAAGTGTTTTCAGCAGTTCTTCGTTAGGGTAGTAAAACTAGCATGTAATTATCAGTACTGCTTGCCAAATGGATTTGAGAGACCTCCTGCAGAATATCCAGGTGAAGAATTGAACACCCAAAGTTTTAGGCCTGTGGTACACTTGTTTTAGATGTAATCTGAAATAACTGCTTCTGTTGCATGATGAAGTCTTCTGTAAATCATAAGCAAGAGGAAGTGGTTTCTGAACTACATGGACAGCTTGCAGGCTTCATTTGCAGTAATACCAGGTACAAAATGGCCATCCAAAAGGTACCATTTACTGTCTCCTGGGCTAGTGAAGGTGGGAAGGAATTACTAACATTACAGAAGGAGCCATTATTCTCTTTGACAACTCAAAGTGTAACATTTTTGTTTTCCTAATTTCCACATTGAATTGATTCAATCTGAAAGTCATTCTGATGCTTTTAACTTTTTAAACACAATCTGTGGTCTAGTAACATCCAGTTCTGCCTTTCCTTTGACTTTTGCTAGTTTTCAGTGATAACTGGTTTCTTCATTTGAATTTAGTTGGCAGCTCTTTTGATTGATGTTCTTGGTAGAATAGAATCCAGCTGTCTTCACTTAACGGTATTATAATGCAGGACAAACACTTTAGTCTGTGTCATCCATGTAAACAGTCTGTGGTTCTAAAGCTGCATAAATTCATCAAGAAAAATGCCCGTCTGTGCTTCTTTTTTGCTATGCTTACAATGTGAACAAAAGATGGCTCTGGGTTTTTTTTTCCCTAAATCATTGCAATAAGCTAGTGGGGGTGATATGCCAGTTAATACTTTAATGAAGTATACATCAAGGTTGCCAAATAAACAGCTTTTGAGGCGTATGCATATTATTATTGTGGGAAATGTTTCTACTGGTATATTAGATAATAGGTGCAATTTGACGAAGGAACATGTAGTTCTCATCTCCGCTCCCTGTGCATCCTTTGGGTGTGGGCATGTAATATTGAAATGTGAAGCTCAGCACATTTTCAATTCACCTGGTTGACAAGAAGTTGCAAAGTTAGCATAGATCTTCTTTCACTTTCCATCCAGTTCTGGTGAACAAACCCAAGAGATTGTTTTTCTTAAGTGGGCTTCCCCATGCCCCTTCTTCTTCATAAAAGGCTGATTTTAATGCTGTACTTACGGGTAGTGCACTTTTGTAAACTTGTAACTATTGCACCTTTTGCATGAAGGTGGTTTTGCAGATACAGAGAATAAAGGAAATTAACACCTTCCAGGTGTGCGCATGGAAATACATTTCAGATATATAAACAATGGTGTTAGCTGAGGAGTGGAGTGCTTAAGTTAGTGAAAGCCATGTATCCTTATTCTAATGCACCAGGATTTGAAAGATTGGATAGAACATGGGAGTTTAATCTGTAAATTTTGGTTTCTCAGGGGTGAAAAGCTTCTTGCTTTGTGATCGTTTCCTGAGCTTGCACCAGGTCTGTGCCATTTCACAGCACAGTTTCTACTTTCCGTGTCCAGTGGCTGATCCAGACATTTTTAGGTGGACCTGGGTTTTTTTAGTCTCTATAACATTGTTTCCAGCACTTCTCTATAGGTAGGTCAGCTAGGGAAATGATCAGTAGAGCTTACAATTGCCTATGATGAGTGAGAAACCACTCTAAATGGCTAAGTCTTTTTAAAAATCTGCTTTAATGAAACATTCTCAAGCCAGGGAAATGCATATATAGGAGGAGTAACAGCTTGCTCTTTATGACTAAAAGCTGCAGTCTTCAAGATAGGATACCAGATACTGCTTTTGTTGAACAGGGATTTTTATCTTCCTATCCAATCACCCCCTACCACAGGGCTTTAAAATTCTTGTTTCCCTGGTCAGAAAGCTGGTTCAGACACCATACCTGTGGTTTCCCTTGTATTCTGGATCTTTTCACAGAACTTGGTTTCCATAGTAAATGCTTTTCAAAAAAGCTATGGCTCAATAAAAGCACTCTGTAGTCCTTCATTTTATAAAGGAGTGCTCTCATTAACTCACTGTTGAATAACTCTTACGACCTTGGGTCTATTTGAATTCTACTCCAAATGTTCCATTACAGGCCATCTGACACCTCATGAAACACATTAGAAGCTCCATTGATGAGTTTCTGATCTTCAAACTATTTTATTATACTTATATTTGAACAAAATATGCTAACTGAGACAGCAAATGAGGGTTCATATTTAGCCATGCAGTCTAGAAACCAAGAGAAAGGATCAGGAAGTATTTACTGTTCAAAAAACTAGGTGTTTTCCAAACTTTTGGGAAATAATGTGATACGAAGCTTTTGTTTTCTCTGCATTGCCTCTTTTAATTTTGAAAGGCTTCCTGTTTTGTTGAGACACCGCCACATTTGTTGTCAGAATTAGAGAGGGGAAGATGCGCATACCTCACTGATTCAGGGAGACCTTCATTCTCCTGTCTATCTAACCTAAACATGAACCATTAGACAGACAACATGGGACTGATTTCACAGATATGGAGGAAAACTCCCCTAACACTGTCATCCCAGTTTAGAAACAGTAACTCAGTTAGTGGGAGACCTGAAGAAATAAGGCACTGTCAGTGACAATCCCATCCCTCATTTGTGCATGTGCCTTTTGAGTAGTGATCTTGAACGTCGCGTTCCTACAAACCCCACGGCTACAAATACAGCTCCCAGAGGAATGTAGCTGACGTGCAGATGGAGGAGTGCTGTGCAGACAGTACGGTATCACATCCTGCAGTGCATGTGCGCAACATTGCCTCAGAATTGCCATAAAGGAATAACAATATCCATATTAGTATTGATTAGTCTTAGTGATAAGGGAAAAGATAATAACCTGGAAGTAAATTAATAATATTCTGTAAAGAGGCAAGATAATGCTTTCAAATGTGACCTAGTTGTGCTTGGCTTGATTTTTTATAATAGTAGTGTGAACACCAAAGTACTGCAGTATTGCTGTATCCCTAATCCTAACTCTTGTAAACCCTCTGTACACCATTGGTGATATTGTGTTGCCTTTGCCAGTCCTTTCCTCTTTATTTATCTTCATCAGTCCGGAAAATAATTAGGCCTATCACTAGTGAAGTTTTTCACCTTACTTAGCAGAGTGAGAAGTGTACGGGCATTCAGCTGCTCACGCTACCAGTGTCTTCTAAGTTTGTTTTTATGTCTTTGCCGGATTTTGGACCACATCGGTAATCTGTCACATCTCCAGCAACAAGCACGGGAAATGTGGCAGAACATTATCTCACAATTTTGGATGATTGTATCCTACTCAGAGACATTACTGTGGTATTGGTAGGACCAGCTAATGCCAAGCTGGTTCTTCCTTTAGGTTCCCCTTCTATTTTCATGAGAAAATGAAAGCGAAAAGGAGCTAGATGGCTGGGTGTGAAATGACTTGAATCAGCACTGCGAGTAGTGAAAACAAGTATTTGAGCCTTTAAAGGAGAAATATCTGTAATGAACTGCCTGAAAGTTTTCACCTGACATATAAGACCTCTGCTAACATAGTGATTTTTGCCCTTGCTTTATGGTCATCAGTGCTCACAAAGTATTTGTGATACACGTTTGAAGTTATATCAGACTTGAGGATTTGGTGTGGCAGTACAAAATATATTCTGATTTTCTCCTGACAAAGATAGCATCTTTCTCACTCAGGAAAATGACGGACCTGCTTACTGTTACCATGCCAGCTGAAACCCCAGCATGAACCCCAGCTGCTGCATCTTTCATACAGGTAGACCACTGATCCTGCATGGATTTTTGGGGCCAGATTTGGGAGTTAGTTATTGTGTCAGGGAATCTGGTCTTTTTTTATAGGCTTCATAGATTTTTTTCCTTTCGGTTTCATCATACAAAAATTCAGTGTATGTCTTCCTTCTTAATACTCTTTCATGTTTTGCAGGCTTAATTTAAACATAATGATTGCTTGAAAACATTTGTTTTCTTATTTGGTTGACAAAACCAATGAAGCATTTATATTGCAGTGTCTTGGCATGTTTTCAGTTTGGGATCACTAGACAACTAAAGAGGAATGGCTAGAGTTTGTAAAGGCAAAAATAATGCACTCGTTTCCCCTTATGAAACTATGCATATTGCTTTGCAGAGTACCAGCATTAAATGGAAAAGAAGTCTAACATGGAATAAATGCTTTTATGTAGCTTTGAATGCTGTATGGCAAGGCTAATATCTATATAGATGAAACAAAAGAGAAGGTGAGATTAGGTAGAAAGAAGTCAAGGATCTAGGGCTTTGGAATGGTGTATCTTGCCTGTAACAGGTCAATGCACATCTGAAAGCTTGCTGTGGGTTGGGAGGGTCCGTGGGGCTCCCCTCAGAGGCTGTTTCAAGCAGATCGTGCCTTCTGAACAAAGTGGCTTGCAGCCCTGAGGAACACAAGGCACTCAACCCCCGGGAGTGGTAACTCCTTCTTTCTCTTAACCATTCTCCTCAGAGATCTTTAGAAGTTTCTAGAGGCTTGTTCATACATGGAATTTCTCTCCTTTTCCCACGGAACTTCAAGACCCTGACTGTGTAAGCATGCAAAGATACTGAGGACTCAGAATTACCTCCGTCTTTCCCTCTTTGTATTGCAGAAAAATGCCCAGTTCCAAAATCAAATACAGTTACTGTCCCTTAATAGGTTGGCCCTAACAGCAAGGTTTGGGGACCCTTGCTATTGGATCTGTAGCAGACTGCAGGATGTTAGCAGACTGT